TCCAAAGAGCGGTCTATTGTGCGTCCCGGAGATGAATTAGGATTGTTCGAACAGTAAAGCGGATGTTGCGAATGAGCAGTATCAGAAGTGCTTCTCAACTGGAAACAGCCGGCAGGTGCTTGAAGCGTTGCACTGGAACACGGAAACTGATCAGGCAAATGACTGTAACTAATGTATGCATACTTGCCTGAAGACGATGCTTGGGAGACCCCACCACCGAACTCGACCGCAGGGCCAGAACGACTCTGATGGCAGGAAATAGAACGACTTTGATGGCGGGAAACAGCTAGCGCGACTGGATCGAGTGGTTCGAGGTCTCCCATAATGTGACAGGCATTGCGTTCTGATCTACAGTGCTCCGATTTACAACGCAAAATCCAATTCTGAATCAGCAGACTGGGTCCAGTCCGGAAATGGGAGTTGAGAACTCGGAAGGTCCCGTAATAGGAGAGATCGTGATGGTAGGCGTGTTCAAACGAGGCAACCACATGTTTTTTGAACCGTCTTCAAATTCACGGAACAAAATTCCTTTCGTCCATGTATCCGATCTAAGAGCAGCTTCGCGTAGTTTGGTTCCAACTTTGTACGAGATGAAGCTCATACGGCTGATGTCGGATCCTTTTTTGACTAGCGGCACAACCTTAATCTGATCTTCGCACTGTACACAACCTTTCACCAGCTTCTCGATTGATTCCGATTTCACGCTAGGATGAATACGAGAAAGGTACAGCCAAAACAGCCGTTTTAATGGCGGTTGACGCATGAAATCAGAGTTTGTCGGAGTTGTCAATGCGATTCGTTTTGATAGCTGAGCGATCTGCTGTTCTTGCTTAGCCATTTCCTTCCTAAGCTCAGCGTGTGCGATTTCCTGTCTCTCGGTGATAGAATTAATCACACTGCTTAACGACGAGACGGCAGTTTTGAATCGAGCACATTTCATCAGCTTCGCGCACTTGTTACACATCCAAAACAGGTTCGGGCTAGTGTGGACAATGTTCAGAAAAGCCTTATTCAGGTTTGTGCCGCCACACTTTAGGTGAATCATCCTGTCGCAAAAAGCCATGCATGAGACGGATTCTTCATCGCCTTTAACTGGCTTAGCGCATTGGTCACAGGCGGAAGTCATGCTGACCCAGTTTCCAAAAGTGATTTAGAAACAGCGGTGGAGATACTCTAATACACAAAGAGGAATTGGATTCTCGACATCGCCCAATGCTAGTCGTGTACAATATGTCCGATTGGATAATTTTTTCACTGTTTTCACAACACAAAATATGCTCTAATTAGCCAATTATCGTAACGAACTACACTTTCCACTAACAACCAGTACAATATTATAAGTATACCGAACGGAAAAAAACGAATAAAGGGCAACCCACATTAAATCCGTTTGCGTTGCGTTGACGTAAATTTGACAGTTAGACAATAGATTTAGCTGTCACTTTGCCGCAACGCGTCCGATCCGGATCTAATGTGCGTGGGCCTTAACGATAGCCCGTGTGATAAAAAAAATGACAAATTTAGCTGCGCAAAATCACGACGATGTGAATAACAACAACTCTATATGATCTATGATGAAGAACAATGAGGAGGACCACACAATGGTTGCTGCCGAGAAAACAGACGATCGCGTGGCACACATCGAGAGTATAATCGCTATATTCAGAGAGTGGCCTGCTTTTGTCGACAGCCAAGTGAACACTGATAATTCCACTTAGTTAATGTTGATATCCATGTACTTGGGACTATGGGATGAGCACCTTCTTAAACTTTGATATGTCTTTAGTGGGAATGACACTGATGAAGACTGAACATTGTAGTCGAAATACGTATCACTCATGGATACCAACATGAATAAATTGGAATTAAATGGAAGGTAGTTTACCTGTAGCTGAGCTGTTTTGTTCAAGCATTTCGCTAACAACACAATTTCATTATTTCAAAATAATTTTGGCTACAGACCAGGTTATATAGGCAAATTTAGCTGCCTAAGTCTAAAATTGCCCGTATAAGCTTAACTGCAGTTTGTTGGGAAGCGCACATATGAGCAATATATCACTGCAAACATACAATACAGTATCGAAAATATTATGTTTTAATCCAGAATTAATCTTCGCCCTTAAATGTGGAATAGAAAGGGTACACGACGTTAGGCATACTGTCGTTAGGCATACGGATGTTAGGCATACGGACGTTAGGCATAAAGGACGTTAGGCATAATCTACCCATTGAATTCCAGAAGGATGATAATGGGGACCGTGTATTGATTACTGACATCGGTGGCAATAATAAAAGAGCGTTAATTTTTGGGACTCATGAAAACTTGCGACGTCTTGGACAGGCAAAGTATTTGGTTGCAGATGGTACGTTTGCCACAGTTTCTTGTTTGTTTCGGCAACTCGTCACTGTTCATGGAAGTATCGCTCCCTCACATCAGCACACGGTTCTGCTAGTATTCATTCTGATGACAACAAAAACATAATCGTTGTATCGAAAAGTATGGGAGTAAATCCTGGAAGCATCAGATATGTTTTTGTTATTGAATGAAAAATCACAGAATTCACCATTCTTCATTACATGAGCTGTTCTTTGACGAAAACCTTTTCTTCTTTGACATTTCCGGAGAACTTCGAGATTAGGGTGTAATTGCTTTTGTAAACAAACACTTCATATGACGATTTCTCGCGAATTAAAGCTCAATCTCAAAAACTAACAACACAAACAGGCAGATGAATGGTTCCTCAATCATTTGGTATAGTTTGTTCACGAGATTTTTTCTTTTATTCACCATCAGCGATTGACATGTCTGTTTACAAAAGCAATTACGCCCAAATCTCAAAGTTATGTGTGTATTACAACAAATGTGTGCTTTATTATTCCTATATGCGATTGATTTCAAGATGTAGTAAAAAACTATGCTGAGTTTTGTTGCCAGATTACTTAACCGCTATCGCTACTAATCTTGGATCTAAGTAAATATGTAGTTACGTCACTTATGATATAATAAATAATGGATTTCATTGTTCACCATGCTCGAAACAGTTTTCTAGAGTTGCACAGCAGCAAGGTATTTTATGCCAAACGTCCATTATGCCTAACGTATATTATGCCAAACGTCCATTATGCCTAATGACTTTATACCTAACGTCCGTATGCCTAACGTATTTATGCCTAATAGGGTACACTCGAATAGAAATATAACAAATTCAGAAACAAATGATTAATATCCAAGCAATTATGGGGAAACGTTTATTTCATGAAAACAGTGTTAAAATTGTCACTTTTTATTTGTACATTTTTCAAAAGTTTTTTTTATGAAAAATTTGAAAGCATTTAGTATTAGATTCATAGAGTTATTTCCTATCGATTGGTGTGTATGGATTTTATTTTAATCTATAAATGACAAAGTTATACGCGTTCAAAACCTAACACCTTTTCGAGACGGTCGTAATTTTTGATTTTCGATTTCCCTCTATACCATCCCGTAAGACGTATAGTAGACCTCTTCATTTTAACATAAATGTTCGGGATGCACCAGGTCAACCGTGATTACTGTTCTTCATGTTAATTTCTGTGCAAATTTTCAGCAAAATCGGTGATGATTTAGAGGTGTTTCAAGTTAATTTTATGTTTTTAAGGTAATTTACGGTTTATAATATTTGTATCTCGAGACTGAAACAACGAAAACTGCTGTAACAACTTTCATAGCAGAGCTTAATGTTTTATCTACCAACTTTGTGGCCAAACGTTGACTTTTCAAAGTGTTTTTTATTGAAGTTTGACTTAGTTTCATGCTCGAGGATATCTTAAAAAGTGAAGAATTTTAAAGTATTTGTTCTATGAATTTTCCACCCATATGATATAAAAATTTGTAGTCTACGGCATACTGTTCTAGAAATTTCGTTCACACATAGTTTTCGTGTAGATTCTATAGATTGAGATATAAAAATCAGAAAAGAGACCGTTATAGCTAAAATTCACAAGACAACAGAGCCAATAAAGTTTCAATTAGATTGACAGATCATAGCTGCATTGCTTTTGAATGCTGGCCAATGACTGTTTCATTGATAGATGATAATTTTAGAAATATGAATCCCCGGTAGACGTGTTTTTTTTATCAAAGGCAAGTGTCACTCGAGCCATAACAGCAATTTGGATGGATCGAGTGACACTTGCCTTTGATAAAAACACGTCTACCGAGGATTCATATTTCTAAAAATATCAAAAATATCGCATCTGTAAAGGATCAGCAATTAATGAACTGGAATTAAATGGAAATTACCAATCCATCTCTCTTTCTTTATTTAAATTTTATAAAAAATTACTTTAAATAGAAAAGCTTGGAAGAGTTTTGGAATACTTTCACACAAATGCCATCTCCAAAATCATCAGAAAAAAATCTCGAAATGTTAATAAACCAATTCAACATACGTACTTTTATCATATTTTATTGAAAAATTCATAACAGAAACATTCAATGATGAGGATTAAAATACGTTGGAAAATTGTTGTGTTTCTGAATGAGAAATATTGCTTTATCCAGAGAAGAAATCCAATTGATTTGTAACTTTTTTTTTCATGCGTAAACAAATGTGATGTCATGTTTGAGCTTAGTCCCCGTATGTCACAAATTGACACGTTTCATCAAACTTCATATCTCCCCATCTTAAATCCGTGACGAAATTTATGGATGTTCCCATTAGTAGACACAGGCAGCAAACTTCTACCGTATGAACAGAGCTTCGCCACCCACTACGGACAACGAATAAGGCAACAGACGCTAATCGCACTTTAAGCTGATTGTAGTTGAGTACTAAGGTACACCTAAGTATGTAGTGGTCGAACCAGACAGTCGGTGGTTGTTTGGCTCGTTGTCGCCGATTGCCACCGCAAGCTGACTGAAGAGTGAGTGTGTTAGTAGCCTCCCTTGTCCGGTGGGTTCGGAGCTTTTCGAATCCACATTCATACTTCCATGCTTCAGTACGGTTTCGTGCGCGAAGGTGAAAATACCTGTTGGTAGTGGACTGAGCATTTCGCAGATTGCTCCTCCATCGTGCGCGAAGACACGCGTTTGATTGTTATATTGCATGTATCGCTACTTAATACTTTTTTTTCCGGCGTGTCACCTGACTCAATTGACGGTGGTTATTGTTATAATCAAACTTTCCTTTGACGGAAGATCCGTGAAGTTGTGAGTGAATTATTGATTTTACGTTCGTTGTTCGTTGTTACTACTCGCTGAAGGTGAAAGGTGGATTCCCCGAAACTCGTTTGCGAGGGAGCACCACAGTTCTGTTTTTTCGTGTGAGAAGGAAACACCGAGAAGAGTGTCAACTCTGCTCATCGCAGGAGGCCGCCGAAGTGGTTTATCAATAAATTTAATGAGCCAAAATCGAAACGAAGCAAGCGAAAAACGAATAAGAAACGAGTGCATTAATTCAGTGATGGGAAACAAAGAAGAACTCCATAGTGCATAAATTATCAATAAACGCCAAACGAATGCTAATCTGGTGATTATCCTCAAATTCCTCCAAATTGTCCCTAGTTACCGAACGACAAAAACAAGCCCAAAGTTGTCATTTTAGTGTTTGTGCATCGAAAAGTGGAATGATTTTATTGACCTCAAAAGAAGTGTAAACCGTTTTGGTCAATGGTGAATCAGTTTGGTCGGTGAAAGAGAAGAATTTTTATTACACTGAACCGACCACCGTTAGCCGAGTTAACCGTGGAGAGAAACAGATGCTGTAGGGTCTCCTCAAAAAAAAAAAAAACGACGAACAGTCGAACAAACAGTAGGTGGAAGCTTTCTCTGAGCAGCGCCAATGCAAAGCAACGGGAACTAACGCAGCAGGTAGGCAGGCGGCGTCGGCGGTTTTAATCTAAGCCTCGGAGCTAATCTTAAGTAAACAAAAAATGAACAACAGAATGATTCGTATTATAGAGCAGCTGGGAACGTTTGTGCTTCTTTTTTTGTTTTTATTTTTTTTGGTAGATTAATTAAAGCTTATTACCTCATCTATTTGCCTAATATTATTGCTGCACTTCAAAGTAAGCGTAGCTGCTTGCGAGCTTTGCAATGCTTGAATGCTTTTATTTGTGAAATCAAATATTTGTTTTTTTTTTCGACCTCACCACCACCACAATGATCGCAAACACGTGCCATCGGTACCAGATCGTTTGCTTATCTAGTTTATTGTGGGCGAAATAGAAGTTTGTTTACATTGATTTTCCGTCTGCGCCAGTGGGTACATGTAGACCACTTGAGTCGGAAATGCGCGATAGTGCAAGTCCGCGGAAGGCGAACTTATCCATATGGTTGTGTTTACCATTGGTCTGCTCGGCGACAAAATAGGAACTGTTTGAAGAATGCATTGTAGGCACGTGACAAAAACAGACCATACAAAAAATAGCTTCTTGCGTCAGATTATTTGGAAACCGCAGCTTTCAAAGCATGTAGTAGTACTGTAAAACCCTTAGTTACCATAAATTGTATGGTTCAAAACAGTATATTCTATTGTAATTTAATTTTCATTAACTTTTAGCTTTATGGTTGTGATCAGTAGGCATTGTAACTCTAAGTTGTATTGTATTTCTATTATATTTTTTAATACAAATAAGTGGTGGGGGTGACCCCGGCGTAGTGGTTCAGACCTCTCACGCCAATGTCATGAGTTGAAATCTCACCCCGGGAAAGTCACGAATGACCTAAGAGCGTTAAAGTGACCATAATAAAAAATAGGAATCAGAGCAAATTTCCTAAGATGTTTCAGTTTTAGCTTTTTGAGACACTTTTGCGATGACTTATTATCATACGTCATTTAGGCAAATAAGAGCTCTTATAATCACTAGCAACTTTCTCCATTATACTAATGGGTAAACATGACTAGGGTAGGTGTTCCAGTAATAAATGTGTACCTATAGTTGCGGTATGGAGTTCGTGCCGGAATTTTTCATCGGTAGCTCTCCTAAAATAAAGCATATTTGCATATTTCAATCTTAAAATATGCCCAAAAGTGACGGAAAATAATTAATTTTCCTTAAGATTTTCAGTCCTTTGCACCTATAGTTGCGGTAGTGTTCCTATAATAGTGGAACCCATGAGAAACCAACGCATTCCACTATTATAGGAACCAAAGTTAGCAACTACCACAACTACTGGAACAGTGTTCCTATTAATGGAGGACGAGTTTTCTAAAATTGTATGCAATTATATTACAAAGTAATATTTTTCTATCAAAATAAAGGTTGAAAACTATACATTGACGAACCTTAATGGGCAAAGCTTGATATTCGGCCGAATACTATGGTGGCCGAATATTCGCTGCATCACTAGTTGTGAGTTTAGAAAGTTCAGAAAAATTGGAACCATATCTTTTTGATCAATAATTGTCCCTATTGGTCACTTTTTCATTGTTTTGAAGTCACTATTTTTTTGTTATTTTAGTCACTAAAGTCTACCAGCCCTGTTTTGTTTGACAGTAGTAGCAGTTGCAAATTAGTATAAGCTTGAATAAGCACACAATTGCGTGAAGAATTTCCCTACCACAAACGGTTGACAATCATCCGATTGTTAAATAAATCCCAATAAGGGGAAAATCTACGGACATTCTAAAGATTGCTCAATCTATTTCAGACATTCCGAACAGTTTTGCAAATCTGAGAGAAATTCCATGGGAATCAAATAACATTGAATTTTTTGAACGAGCTTTTAATAGCAATTAAAAAAATCTGGTAGCATTCTTAGAGGATTTTTCGATGATTTATAGGGGTATTTTGAAAACAAACTAAATGGAGTTCTGATAAGAAACTCATGAAGAGAATTGCAAGCACATTTTAAAGATATTTTCAAGAGAATTATGGAAGGAAATTTTCCGAGAAATTTGTGTGGTCATATTCAAGGGAATTCTGAGAATAATTCGAATAGGGTTTTTGATCTAATTTCCGTCCTACTAAGGACATGCCGCACTTTACCACGCTTTTTGGAAAGCGTTTGAACAAAACATGGAATGTTTTCATCAAAGATAACTTCTAAATTTATCCACCTCTCCGTACGTACCGTTGGATTTGGTAAAGAGTCAAACAATGTTGAGATATTATTAAAAATCTAACACTGCTTCTTGTGTGTGTGTATTCAATCTAACCCCCACTGGCCGGCAGTGGTATTATGGAAGAAATTTGCTTACAACAATCCTTGATGTAATAATTTAAAGCAAGTTTAGTCCGGGAGTTAGAAAGCGATAGCTCTACTGCAGATTTAGCAACCCATTTCAGAATGCCTGGTAATTCACGTCCATTCCGAGGTTACTTTCACATACAATAAGCCCCGCATGTAAACACTACCGTTATCATATGAATAATGGTACTGCAAACACACTTCCAGATTTCGAAATGTGATGTTTCGAAATCTGGCGCGTATTTAGTAATATATGGAAATGTGCATTTATGATTGATTATAAATCAGATGGATCTCACCAAATTCTGCCTCCGAAAAGGACCGGTTTGTTCACTCGCGGTAATCGAAAAAATCTTCCGCGTTGTTTTTACAACCCAACACGACATTTTGAATCACATTCGAAGTTTTTCATTTGCACCGAATTTTTGCTTGACACCTCATTTGCGTGCATCCTCCGGAAGGCAGCACGCCAGCACCAAGAAAAAAAATGCGCCGTAAAACTATGCTGGGGAGGGAGGCAAAGCACCAATAACAAGCGAAATGAAAAACCGACCGACGCGACACCACAGCAACACAGCTACTCGAAACAAATTCTTGTCCCAGATTTTTCACGTTAATTACAATATCACTAAAAAACCTCTTAAGACGTGATAGATCTTAATTTACACTTATCCACACGCGAGAACTAATATTTTTTTGATTTGGTACAATTAAAAAATATGCGAAAAACAGATGAAATCAGCGCCAGCGAAAACAAAACCAACCGTTCGCGGGCAGAGCCTACTGCGTTTTTTTTTTTCAAAAAATCTAACACTGCTTCTTGCTTCTAAATTCGTCCTACGCGTTTCAATTCCGTCCAAACGCATTGAAACGCCATTAGATTTTCTTCGTCCTACGGATAAACGGAGAAAAAGGGATGCGCTAGGAGCGCTTGTTTTGTTTTGAGAACAATGAACGTAAATATGCATACAATGCGCTCTAATAGGATTTATGTCGTAGCTAATGAACTAACGCATCGGAACAAACGTATTATTGTTTTGTGCATGGTGAAATCATTGATATTATTGATGATTTCTGCTCGATAGAACGGAAATGGGCGATTACGACGAAGTAGCGCTCTTCCCTATAATTTATTTCTTTATTATTATTATTATTGTCCATCTGACTTGATAGTCTCAATGAAACACTTAAATCTAAATGTAGTCACTCATCAAAAATTAAAAATTAGCCGACAGCAAACGATAACGAAACCTGGAGGCATTGAAGTCAAAGTCAAATAGGTCAGAGGCTTCGTTGAATTGATGAATCATGGCGACAAAGGAACTGTTTGCAGCATAGTTGGTTGCATGTACTACTTCATGTAGCAACGTTCTCGGATGGAGTGTTCGGGCAGGAGCATACAGATTAATTTTGGCCAGTAACTCAAGAACATCATATTCTGCGAGCAAAATTTTAGCAACAAAGACGACCTGCGATATGTTTCGTCGCTTAGCAAGAGTATCCAAACCCAGTAAACGACAGCGGTCAGCACACGGTGGTAAATTCATCGGGTCACTCCATGGAAGATAGCGTAGTGCGTATCTGACGAATTTGTGTTGAACAGCTTTAAATCGTCCACTCCATACTGCTTGGTAGGGATTCCAGACAATACACGCGAATTTCAGTAGTGAGCATACAAATGAACAGTAAAGGGCTTTAAAACACAGAGAATCACGAAATTCCTTAGATATCTTGAACATGAATCCAAGTTGACGATTAGCTTTGTCGATCGTGGTTGAGAAGTGGCGAGTGTATGTGAGATTTTCATCCAACATGACACCGAGGTCTTTAACGTGATCGACACGTTGAACTGCAGTCCCAGCAACGTTATAATCAAACAAAACGGCAGTCCTAGTTCGACGGAAACTAATTACGCAGCACTTTGAGACGCACAGGACCATAAAATAACGTTCACACCAATCATTAAAGATTTTAAGAAAGTTTTGTAGTTCTAAACAGTCGGCATAGTCTCGAACGACTAGATAAATCTTCAAGTCATCGGCAAAAAACAATTTACCTCCACGTAGTAAAATAAACGTTACATCGTTCACAAATAAAGAGAGAGCAGTGGTCCCAAAGTGCTACCCTGTGAAACTCCTGATCTGTTCGAGAAACAGTCCGATGAGTAGTTTCCGATGCATACAGTAACTTTACGTTGCACGAGGTACGATCTAAGCCAGCTGCAGAAGGAAACAGAACATCCAATTTTTTCAAGCTTTGCTAGCAGAACGCCGTGCACAACTCTATCAAACGCAGCTTTAAGATTAGTGTAGATGGCATCCACTTGAAGTTTCTTGCATACATTTTCCATACAGAACGACGTAAAGCTGACGAGATTAGTTTTCACGGAGCGGCCAGGAAAGAAACCAAATGAATCAATTTGAGACAATACTTCAAAAAAGTTGAGGAGAAATTGGAAGAAGGCTCAGAAAGTCATAGCATGCTTCAAAGACAGTTCTGAAATGAACTTCAAGCGAATTTCTAAAGAGTGCTCCAAAGTAATTCGGAAGAGTTTGCCAACACAATTCTAAGGAATATCCCATGAGAATTTTATACATGATTCAGAATTACGAAGGCAAGCTGAAATCTTTATCGGTACCTCTAAAATAATGCTAAGTTTATTCATCAAAATCCTTCAA